TATTTTCACATATTAATACCCCAAAACAGCTCAACGGTGATGAAAACCTTGGCGGCTGTCTGGGTCTTGTCGACCTCAATATCCACACCCCAGAGATCTGGGGGAAATCTCGTTCATCATTCCACGTTCTCCTCCTGTCCCTCTCAGTGTGTGTGTGTGTGTGTGTGTGTGGACGGGGCGTGGAACCAGCTCTTGGGAAAGCCTCCTTGAGCAGTGACAACCCTGCTGGCCCATTCTGCATGCTCCTTGGTGCCCGACAAGAACTGAACATGTGCTGGAACTAACTCTTATATCTCCAGCGTGCTGTGAGGCTGACAGAGAGATGCAAGATGGATGGGAGATTTAGGGACTCCGTGGTTTCATTTAATCAGAGTGTGTGTGACACTCCCCTGGACCAAGGCAGAAAACGCCTTACAAAGACGTAAGTCTGCAGAGACGCTGTATCTGTGTGAGTGCATGCATGGGGCGCGTGTACACGTAGGCATCTGTGCACACCCAAGTGAGCAGAGCTGACCAGTCTGTCTCACATGAGACCAGTTTGCTCTGAGAGGCGGAAGGCCTCTGAATTGGCTGCTGCAGGAAGAAGCCCCCCACCCCGCCACCCAACGCCTTCTGCCTCTGGGTTGATGTTGTCCTCATGTTGGCTTCTCCAGTTTGCTTTTCCTGTTGGAATACGATTCCTTGATTGAAATGAGCTTGATAATGTGATCGATTTCCCTCTATGCCTTTTATTCGCTATCACTTAGATTATTGCCTCTGGGGCAAAGGTCTTTTTTTTTTTTTTTGTCTCTCTCTCTCTTTTTTTTTTTTTTGCCTTACGTAAGTCCCCCAAGCACCATGGGCGCTGAGCAAGTAAATAACCAGAGTTGTGAAATGGAGTCTAAAATGTACAAAACAGTCTCATCTGTCAAAATTTGGACACCAGAGCACAGAGTCAATTATCACATATTAGCCTGCTCTTGTTGGCATTTTAATGCATTTAGAAAAGATTCACTTGCTTTACACACACACACGCACACACACACACACACACACACACACACACCCAACTCAGAACACAAGCAAAATCGAGGCTGTTTTAGACAAAACGCAGCTTCCTCCTCAGACTCGGAAAAGATTACTGGACACAATCAAGCTTCTTTTACTTAAAAAAATAAAAGATGAGGACCCTGAATAGTCCCTCTCCCAGGCAAACTTCAACCAAACAGTGGCATCCCAAATGTAATCTTCGATTTTTAGGAGCATTTTTCACAGACTGTCTTGTATGATTTTTCCCCAGATGGTAAAGCAGGGCAGACATATCACATGACCATTTTAAAGGTGAGGAAACTGATACCCAAAAGTGTGAAGAGACTTCTTATCGATGCACAGGGAAGAAGGAAGGGGGCGGGGTGGACAGTGGAGGAGAAAGCAAAAAAGAAAGAAGACACAGAAAGGAAGAAAAGAGGAAGAGAGGGAAGGGGGAGAAGAGGGAAGAAAGTAGAGARAAAGGAAAAGTATGAAACTATTTTTTTAGTAATTAACTCCTCAGCCCCATTTTGATAACATSTGTAGAGACAGAAATGAATAGTTTTAATATGAATCGTGCTAATGATGATAACAGGAGTGTGGTAGCAAAGCAGTAGTCATAGTAGCAACCAGGGGCAACATTATTGCCTTATCTTTATCTACCAAATATTTTTTCCAGGGCACTTGCAGTGTTTCCTTCATCCTACAAAACCAGCTTCCATCTTACAAAACCATCTCCATGCACCCCCAGAATGGTTACTACAGGTCCCATTCTATGATAAAGAAGCTGCGATGCAAGAAGACCCGCTTTCTTCCAATTGCACAGCATCTGGGGACCACCTTGCATCTTCTCGCTCCGGTGATCGTGTTTTGATTCCCTCATTAGCCGGTGTCACTATGCATAACTAGCAGCTAGTGGATCCCACCCTGTAGGTTCAGCTGCTGCCTTGGGAAGGAAATTTGGAGTGGGGGAACCCCAGGTCGGACGCAGGTGAGGTAAGCATCAAAGATGAGATCACAGAAAGATGTGTGAGATGGGAGGGATCCCACCAGAGCGGGCTGGGCTCTCTAAGGGTGGCCTGACGGAGCCAACTTCCAAGAAAGGGCTCAGTCTAGGAGCAAGGAAGGTGCAGGCTGAGTCTTCTGTTCTTCTGGCTGATGATGAGGTCTCTCCAGTTATGTCTCTCTGCCTTCAGCATCGTATCTCCATGCACCCACAGAAAGAAGTCTCATGTTTGGTTTGAGGATGGTGATTTTGATTTTTTGACTGTCTAGATGGATTTAGGTCCCCTGACCCAGAAGAGTATCACCAGGGGCTTCAGTGTGAGCACAGCATGGTAAGACCCACTACCTGCAATGTGATTCGGCAACTCTGCCTTTGGAAAACACAGTCTGCCATTACGGGTATGAGGATCCCTTGATCATTTCCACCCAGATAGGCACTGTGGCTTTATTGATGGCAAGATGTGTCATGAGCAAGGTGGTGGCAGAGAGAAGAACACCCTGTCACCCTCCATACCTAATTGATGGCATTCAGAAAGAAAAGCAGGACATGGATTTTTTAAAGAATCTCAGAGATCCCCATCATTTCTGCCATTAAGGCATGTTACTTGAGTGAGACTGAAGGATAAGGCACATTCTGAGAAATGTTCTGGAGATGATGGAAACAGAATCCAAATGGGCAGTATCACCTTCTGCACAAATGGTGATCCCCATGGAAACCCTTGACTCTGGGGGGTGTCAATTAGCAACTGAAAGAAGCACCAAACACACATCCCTTTCCTGATTGCTGGAGGCTTCCCAGCCTTCCTGGGTAAGAGATGAGCACAGCAGTTATGACCAGACCTCTGGGCTAATTATTCTTTTAGAAATATGAAGGAATAAAGGGCGGTGGGGCAGGGGGGGAGTAGAGAGAGAAGCGGAGCTGTCAGTGTGCTTGATGTTAAATAAAACCTACCAAGACTCAGCTGAGAATTTTAGCAGAATCCAAATGTGCTAGGGGAAGAAGGAAAAAAAAAAAAAAGGCATGGCTCCCATCTCTAAGGTTCACAGCTAAGCTGGCTTAGAATCACACATGCCAAGGTTAAAAATAAAAAGCAGCCATCCCTGAATGACACAGGCTCTGAGAAGGAAGACTCAAGTATGTTTGGAGGTGGAGGAAAGAAAGGGGGAGGAGAACCTGGGTTCAGAATTGAGGTGCTTTTTGGAGGACACATCACCGAAAAGTCAGATGCTCAAAATGTTGCTGTTTTATTCTTAAAAGGTACTTCACATGGGCAAAAAAAGATTTCATCATCATCTTCAGATTGTCCATCGAGGAAACCCTGGCGTGCATTTGAATGTGGCCGTGGCTGACCCACTCGGGCTGGGTGCTGCTATCTGGGCATTTGCCAGGGTGGACTGGCTCAGTCAGTGTCCTCATACACCTAGATGGGACACACCAGTGGTCTGGTCCCAGCTCAAAAAGCACAATGGGCCATCAGCAGGGGGCCCTACCTGCCACTGTATGCYACTCATTCCACAAACCAGATAAAATGGTGCTGGGGCCACCCACAGGCCAGCAGTCCTCTGTGTGGCTCCACTGCAGACAGACTGTGTGTCTGCTTCCTGAGGATAGCATGTGACCCATCCCTAGCCCCTACATCCACAACCACCCCAGGCAGAGGCTACTTGGTAAAGGTGACACATTGACCCTTAGTTCCCTCTTCTTGCAAATCCAGGTCTTCCTATGATGAGTCCCATGAGTCTAGTGAAATTGTCCCCTGTCCAATATGCTTATAACCTCCACTGCCTAACGGGCTTACTTTTATAAAAATAAAAGAATTAGCCTCAGCTACTCTTTCAGCTACCAGATGACCCCTCCACACTATGCAGATGTCTCCAGAATGTCTTCAAGAGGTCAGTAAATGTGAGAATTCTGCAACCATATGTCACGGGGAGTCCATACATTACACCAACCCCAGGGACGCCCTGACTTAGCCTATGTGTGTTGATCCTACACTTCTGCACCACACAGGGTTTGGAAGGGGGAYGGTGCTACCTTATAGAAGACTCATTGTATGCTCAGAAATCCCCAGGCCTGGGTAACTCTGGACCCTGACAGTGCAACACAGGAGAGGACAATCTACTATGTCTCTCCACCCTGTGGGAGACTCCAGTCAGCCTTCATTTGAGGTGCCCTCCTGTATTACAAATTCCACATCCTGAATGCTAAGCAGAATTTCTACACCTTTAAAGCACATTAGCAAAGCATTTGGAAGCAGACAAGGCAAAATCCGGCTTCTCTGCCCACTGGGGTAGACCGGAACGAGGCTGGGAGAATTGAGGGAACTTGCTCAAGCTAAAGATTCAAGTCCAGGCTTCTTTCCATTCCTCCAAGACCATGGACCCAGGTCAGACCTACTGCGGGGGGGGGGGGGGGGGGGGGGGGGGGGGGGGGGGCGGTCAGCAAATATCTGGGTCTGCAAATGAGACTCCCTGAAGGTCTTTCTCATTCTTGAAACCTCAGCAGATGCCCTCTCATTCTGACTGAACCCTGGGGACCTCTCCAAAGCAGAGCCCCTACGGAAAGGGGTCTCTGCTTGACTTCTTCACAGAGTCATAGTACAGGGACSAGAAAAGATCCACCTAGGGTCAGGGGATAGGGCTGGGGTCAGGCAGCACGTGGCCTGCCCTGCCCTGCCTGTTCCCTGGGATCCCTGCTCCATCSGCTCTAAAGGCTGAACCCTGAGCCGGCCCTCCAGCTGGGGCATTGAGGCTCGCCTGGAAATCTCCCTTTCCTTACGCGGACAAGAGGGAACGCCCTTTGCAGTAATCCTGGGAAGTTCTGGATAAATCCTGCTAGAGCCCCKGACCCGCCACGCCACGCCACGTGTTGTCTGAACCCATCCATCAAACTGGGTGAAGGGAGGAGAGAAAACTCAGAGATGACTCCAAGGATGGAGGAGATGACTGGAGACCTGGCACAGAGAGAGGGGGTTCCCCCTCCTTACCTGTACCAGTCCAGCCCGCGGCCGTAGTTCCTGTCGAAGAAATGGGGCTCCGTACCCAAGGCCCGCACGTCCGGGTGCACGCGGATAAACTCCAGCACGGCCCGGGTGCCSCCCTTCTTCACACCCACAATGAGTGCTTGGGGCAGCCGTTTGGTACCCAGTTTCGGTGAGCCCGAGTGGTTGGAAGCCGAGAGGCGAGGGGCGGGCRCGGCGGCCGCGGGCGCGCTGGGAGCGCTGGGCTCGCTGGGCGTCGGCCCGTGGGGATCACAGGGGAGGGACTTCTGGAGAAGTTTCTGGCCGCTCGGGCTGGGACCGCGGAGGCAGCGAGGCGCGCCTAGGAGCCGGCTCCGGCCGAGATCGTCGCAGCAGCACAAGAAGCTGTAACACAGGTAAGTGCAGGAGAGCGAGAGCGTGAAGGCGAAGAGCAGCCTGCGCGCCCTCCGCGGCTGAGGTGGCCCCGCACGGCCCAGGACCCTATAGGCCATGGCTCCATGGGCCCGCGCCGGGGGTCATGGTTTCCGAGGGGGCACCTGCGGCGGAGCTGCTGTGGCCCTGCGTCGCCTAGAGGGCTCGCATGGCTCTGCCCCGGCAGCGTGGGTCGGGGGTCGGGGGCTCCGTCTTCTCCGGGCGCTGCTGGCTGGGGCGCGCACCGTGCCCCGGGATCCSGGGGGCTGCGGCTCCTCGGGAAACAGGCGGCTGCATTCCCCACATCGCCTGGTCCTAGGCGATGGGGCTCCGGGCAGCAGGGCGGCTCCTGGCGCTCCTCGGCTCCTCTGTGCGCCGGGTACAGAGCGCGCCCAGMGCCCGAAGCCCCATTCCCGACGCTCGGAGCGCGGCGCACGGAACGCTCGGCGGCCGCGCGACTGTACCGGCTGGAGGGCGGACCGGACGGTGGCGCTGGCGCCGGCCGCGTTCCGGCTCCTCGGGAAATGCCGAGCGGAGCGCGCTGCCGGCTCTATTTAAGGAGTCGCCTGACGTCAGCCGCGCGGGTCCCCYGAGCCCGCACCGCGCCCCGGGACCTGGCCCGCCCTCTGCTCCTCCACGGTCTCACTCCTCTCGGGGACACACTACCCCAGGCCCTCTCCAGGCAGGCCGCTCCGTGAGGAGCCTGACCAGCGTGGGGCGGTGATGGAAGGGTGTCTTAGGTTCATCGTGTACTCCGCCGGAAGGCTGGACATCCCCACCACACTGACCTCCCGACACCGAGGGGTAGAACCCAGACTGCGCCAACATCCAGTCCAGACAGAACTGGGCGCAGACGAAAGCACCCCTACGTACCCCGAAGCGTGGTTCCACACACGCACCACATACGCAGGAGCTCCTTGACCCGGACACACCCCCACATCACACTAGGGGATGGGATGGAGAAGAACCCTAATTGTGGCTTAGAAATACACGGGGACACACCCCCTCCCCCGCCATCTCGCCACGCAGACACTCAGAGCCGGGAATCGGACATCGTGCAGTGCGCGCACACACACGCCTGGGACCCGGAGGCACTCTGTAAATGGGATGGGTGGAGGAGCGGAGCGAGAGCGAGATTCCGTGACTACTCATGGAGCTCCTTAGCCCCCCGCGCGCTGACTCACACCCAGGCGGCTCGCTCTGTCTCACACCCGCGAAGCACGCACCTCCACCCCAGTCTCACTCCACCTCTCCCAGCGCCTGCAGGCAGAGCGAGCCCCCAGAGCCGCGGATTCCGTGCCAGGCAGATTCCTCTCTTAGCGGTCGCCCCCTAGCGGTAGACTGCTCCCCGGGGAGTTGTCCAGGTCCTTAAGGGGTGGGTAGGGTGTTCTGGGCTGCTTCGTGCYGTGGATCTGAGAAAGGAGGGAACAAAGGACAGAAAGGACTTATTCAGGTCCAATTCCACTTTGAATGATTCCTAAGCGACAACCGCAGAACCACTGTCAGTGACCATGCCCAGAACAGGCTTGAGTGATTAGCCCCGTACTGGGAACCACACATATCGCAGAATTGGAACCCTGCGGAAGAACAGACCTGAATGGCCACCACTGAAAACGTGGCTGAGCTGACTGTCTCTCAACGAAGCCAAAAGACCGTGCAGGGTGTTTCCAAAGTGGTGACCACTGCCACTCCCATGCTCTGTTCAGGCTGTGACTGACGTCAGGGCATAACCTGATCTTAAGGACATGTGGATTTTAACTCAATCCAGGAAATATTTTGTCCCCAAACCAGGCATGTCCGTAGGGACCTTAGATCATTCCCTCTACTGTAGATAGTAATCATGGTTACCAACTTTTTACAGAGCACGTGGCACATGTTAACTGGTTTAATATTTACTACCACCTATGAGTCTGTTACCTTTGCTCTCACTTCATTTTGCTTTCTTAGTTCTAATAATAGCTAACATTTATCAAGTGCTTGTGTTGTGTCTTTAATGTGCCAATCACTTGACATGCTCTCTACATCATTCATCTTTGGAGATAGGTACAATTCCTAATCCACAGTGAAAAGGAGGTTTAATGAATACATTCTCAGTAAATTTGGCAGAGCTGAGATAAAACCCAGGCAGTCTGGCTCCAAGATCCAAGCTCTTAATTACAGTGTTCCGAAGCCCCCTTATCTTCCTTTGACCCTTATTCACATAATGCCATCCAAAGCTCCTGACCTGGATGCCAACGAACTTGTCTTTCATAATCAGACACCTGGGCCTGAATGAGGAATTCCAGGTGTAACTGAAAAGTTCAACAGGACCCTCACCTCCTTTCTGCAAACTCTATTCCTAGTAATACCACCTAAGACCCCATTATCTTTTTCTGGTGGATCCATCACATCATGAACATCTCAAGCTTGTAGCCAAGTAACCTCTCTCAGTTCTTCCTTCAAGTGCTGCTGATTAAGGCACATCGACCCCATACTGTTTTTTGTACAGTGGGGCTTTTTTGGCTCCAACATGTAGGTCCTTACACATTTGACCTGATTAAATTTTATCTTGTCTCATCAGTTAACTGCTCCAGTTTTTAAAAGGAGGAAAAAAAAAAGTCTACTTGAATCTCAGGACATGATGTAGCCTTCATATATTCAAAAAGAAAAAGTGGAAAGATCACATCCCACTTTTACCCTTGATTCCAGGAGTACTCTGCCCTCTTTTGAGCCTCAGTTTCCCTGGCTACAAAATAGGGACTTAGGAAAAACCCTCCAGAATCTTATGGGGTTCTGGTAGTGTAATTCTCTGCTCCTGTGATTCCATTACCCAAAGCATGAACCAGTCTTCTGACATGTCCTCTCCACATTTGATTACAATTTAATTAATTCTTCACTCAAATTGTTAATAAAAATGTCAAAACAAATATGTTGAAAGGAGTTCTAATATCTACTTTCAACAATTTTTCACATCATGAACCTGTTATTTCCTGCAAGCCATTGTTAAAATTGCAAGGTTAAACATAGAGTAATCCACTCTGACAAGTGCTTTTTTTTTTCCTAGAGAAAAACACGGATATGGTTATTTCTCACAATTTCGTGCTCAACTGAATTTTAAAATTATTTTAATCCTTGAACCCATAAAATCTGAAATTCCCAGATACGCCAGAACCAGGCAGGTTTTTTTTTCTTCCTCAAATTTCCAACCATGATAATTAGGTAGTTGACATACCCAAATCCTTCCACCACCACCGCCACATAACACCTGGATCATTTTACAGGAGCACCATGATTCTCCTTTGGGAGTATCAGGTAGGATTATGTTGAGTTGTGGGGTTTGTCAAATAACAGTCATTAAACAAAATACATGTTTATTTTTCTATCCCATGAAAGTGATCGACGGAGGTGATTCAAGGATGGAATAGAAAGCTCCACAATGTTAGAAAACAAGTCTCCTCCTATCTTGCCGTTCCACGGTGTGCTTTTTTTTCTTCCAAAGTCACTGGTATGCTAAGATGCCATCCTGTTCACATTCTGACCATCAGTAAGAAAGAAAGAGTTAGAGAAAGCCATATTTAAGAGCCTTCCTTGGGAAAAATCTGTGTTATTTCTCACCCATCTTCAAATGATCACAATGCTGTTGCATTTCTGTCTTCAAGATATCCTTCAGAATGTGTCTTGATTTGGGGTCTCGCCATGCCTGGCTAAACCTTGGAGCTTTTTGTTATCAAGGAAGAATTTATGAATGATTATAGAAGGCAACTAGTAATCTCTGTCATTGTTTGGAAAAAAAAAGTTTCCCCCTGATTTTTTTCCCCACGTGGGTTGTGTGGCTTGAGCCCACTTCAAAGAGAGCCTATGATCAAACCAGGTGCCCTCATTCTATAATCCTATTTCATTGATTGACAGTAACTCAGATCTTTCCAGTGAGAATCAATCACAGAACTTTGGTTGATGCCCTTTTTTCTTCTTTCTTCGTAGACGATGACCTAAGGTCTAAGGTCAGCCTGGCCCTTCCAGGGATCATCTCTGCCATCGAGGGGGGAGATCCTGAGAATGCAAAGAGGAAAGTGAGATCCCTGAGTATCCTGTGAACTTTAGAATCTAGCTATGCCAAAAGCACATCCCTGGACTTTCTTGCTCCTATTGATTAGTTCCCTGTTAGTCTCCACTAAAAAATAACAAACAGATTAAAAATAAGGGTTTTTCCCCCCCCCCTTCAAATGCAGTAAGGAACATTTTAATTAAAAAGTGGTGGAGGCGAGTTGGGGGCTTATTCTGAAGTATATGCACGGAACAGGACTGGAACCCTTCCAAATTCGAGATCACTGTAAGATCAAGCTACTTTGTTCATTGTCTTTGCTTCTCCTTGTGTTTTATTTTTCTTTTCACTCTTAACTGTCATTTTCTCTCTGTTTTTGAGTCAGTAAGGGTTCCTGATTTGTGAGCAAAACAGAAACTGACTTTGGCTATTATGAGCAAAAAGGAATTTTTGGATAGCTCACACAGGAAAAGAACTTTGGTAGATCACAGAATTAAGAAGAAGTCTGGAGCACTGGACTCAGAAACCATCACAGTCTCAGAACACATGTCTTTCTCTTGTCTTTCTCTCTTGGAGTCTCCATTTCTCTCTTGCAYCCAGTGTTATTTTTCTTCCTTCCCACTCTTGTATGGAAGACCTTGAATTTGAAATTATGAAACAGAAGACGTTTTCTTCCCCTTGATGCTTTGGACCTCATCAAGCTTTATTATTCAGTTTTATTTCAGTGTAACTTTTGAATCTTTTCTTGAGAGCAGAGTTTTATAAAATGTGAGAAAATGTCCCAAAAGAARGTGACCCTTATAGGGCAAAGAGCAAAGAAGTGGAGTCACATGATCTGTAGGATCCATGAGGTGCCAAGTTCACTCTGAGCCACGAGGGTGTGCACGAACATTCCACCTTTAGATGAGAAATACTTTGGCTGATGCTCCATTCTCTGGACCAAATCATCTGAGAGCAAAATTTCAAGGGGCTTCCCGGTACTGCCAGAGAAAACAGGCAAATATAGAAGACGACAGACCATGGACCATCTTAAGGACTTTGTAAGATTGAAAATCCTTTGTCTTTCTCTGTGCTGTCGCTATTGTTATTGGTAACAATCATCATCGTGATCATGGTCATAACAGCACCATTTATTGCAATACTTGCCCCACACCAGGGACTGGGCTCAGCATCGAGATGCATTGACTACTTTAATCCTCTCAATAAATGAATAAATCTATAATGCCTACCATATTGATTTATTGAGAGGATTTATTGAACCCATATGATCGTATCACACCTGTTTGACGATCTGGCCTTCCTAGACTCTCAACTCCTTGGGGGAAGGGGCTCAGCAGCTGTTTCTACCTCAGCCGCCTGCTGAGTTTGGACTGCATGTTCATGTTGGAATTCCCTTGGTTTCTTTATCTCTCTATCTTTGATGGACCGCCGAATACTACCCCCACCGAGGCTTCCAAGGAAGAACTA